GAATTTTCTGTTCTCAGTGGGAGAAATTTCCTTGGGTAACGATTACTCTTATATTGACCTACAAATTTGTATAAGCCTACTACATCCGTAACTCCCAACATGGAGCATTTTGAAGGTTCCAAATGTGTTCCAAAAATGCTGCAACCAAAATAATTTATATTTCTATCTGTACCTCTATCCATATGCTCTATATAGCGGATCCCGGCAATTTGTGGGAGCCTTAGGGGCCCGCTTTCACAAACGGAAGTAGCTTCGCAAAAAACGATCAATGTATGTTAAAGCTGTAGAGTTTTTTTATAGTTTTTTCATTTATAATAAAAATGTTTAGGGCATTTTATTTTGAAATAATACACAATTTTATACTCAAACTAATAATATTTCAATTACTCATAACCCCATAGTATGTGGCAATTTTGACCTCACCCTTTATACATATATCAGTGTTTGTCATTATTTCGATTTCCAATCATACACTGCAATCCAAAGGAATTCGGTCATGTAACGATATTTTATTTTGGGCCTTAATTAAATAACCTTTTAACCCCAACTTAAAAAGAAACCTCGTTTCACACACACACGTTCAAAGATGCATAGATAAAAAGTGAGACAGACAATCAATGGACAGACAGACACACATATGGAGAGACAGATATTTATCATATCATTTACATTCACTTTAGTCTAATTTATAATACATGCCAAGTGTCAAAATGACCAAAAGTCCGGCAGACAAAAAATCAACTCAAACCGATCAAAATACGAGGCAAAAAAAGCATAGCAAAAAACACTACAACAACACTGATGTCAAACTAAAAATAAAAATGTAACAAAACAAAAAACCATATCCAACATAACAACAACAACAAATAACAACTTTTGGGCACCCAACTCAGTACTCCACTGCAGAGGTATCGTTTCCAACTGTTTGCTTACCAGCGACAAAAAAGTCCCCTCCAACAAATGAAAACGAAAGTCAATGAACGAACGACCGAACGCAATGTTCTGTGCGGTGTGGAGACTGTGGTTGCTTCTGACGCTGCTGCTGCCAACCGAACAAACTTTGGTGCAGCATTACATTCATGGGTATCACATAATGTTACGGATTAATAGATCGCACTGCCGATACTCCAATGCAAATACTTTGCCAACTCCACCTTTAGGCCTGAGTAACCTAATTTCTTATTTTTTCTGCTTTGTCATTTGTTTATTTTTAGGCTCAAATGGAAAAAAATTCCCAGCGTCAGAGAGTCAATGCTGCTCGGCTTCAAGCAAGGAGATCTAATGATTTTGAATTTACCTCCACCTTCAAATGAACAACGTATAGGTGAAGTAATAGCAACAAAAAGGAAAACAAATAAAACACCCAAACGTTAAATGCAATTCAAGAAAGGCTCACCTTAAGACATTTGGAAGATCAACAAAAATATAGACACACAATTTTGGCCAGTAAGGACTATTGTGGGAAAATTCAGGACGATATGTCGTAAAAAATACGTAAGCTAAAAAAACTTTTCTAACTTTTTTGAAGATTATTACAATTGATGGTCATAAGAATTTCTTAAAAATGTCAGTACCCAGAAACAATGAAAGGAAGTGGAAAAAATAAAAAAAATCCCCTATAAAACGTCTAAAGGGACTTAATTTTTTTAATCCACAGCAAAAGGCTTGAAGGAAGTTGTAAAAGTTTAATATTTTGTAAAAGGGAGTCGTAAATGTAATAAAACTAGCAAGAGCCCCCTACATCGTCACGGAAAAGTCCAACTTTTATTTTCAGTTCTACTATTTAGTACTTTTCGTACCATTATAGAACATACTTTCAGAACCATCTTCATATGCTAATCCCAGATACCAATCAAATTCCTTGACTCCAGTTCTATCCCTTCACCCTATACTCAATTTAATACCACTTAGTACTCTTCGAACAATCTTAACCACAGACGCCAACCGTTGGAATTATATTAAATTTTAGAATTTCAGCTCTATCCCTTCACCCAATACAAAATTTAGAACTATTTAGTACTTTTCATACAATTTTAGTACATACTTCCAAACCACCTGCATATCTCATTTTCAGATACCGAGAGAAAAATCAGTATCACATTTAAGGATTCCAGTCCTATTTCTTCACCCAAAACCAAATTTTAGAACTTACCATCAGTATTATAAATATCAAATTTCAGAATTTTATCTCTATCCCCTCATCCAGTACCAAAAATAGCATAATTTAGTACTTTTCGTACAATTCTAGGACACATTTCCAAAACCACCTCATTCTCTACACCCTAGACACAAACAGTGAATTCCATCTCTATCCTAACAGCCAACGGCAAATTTTGTGGCAGTTTGAATTTTTCGTACGTACGCATTTCCACCTTCTTTTTTCAACTACAGACACCAACAGTGACATCCACAGTACACTTCAGGATTTCTTCTCTATTCTTTTACTTGGTATCAGTATTTAGTACCTTTTGTACAATTATAGTTCACATTTTCAAAACCACCGCCATATCGTAACCACAGATACAGATATCTCAGCATCTCCATCTAAAGCCTATACCTTCATCCAAAACCAAATTTAGTACCGTTTAGTACATTTTTATTAATACAAGGTGAGATGAAAAATCTGCAACCAACTTCAGACTGCTGTCATTTCTAAAATTATTTCAGTGACAGCTCATTATATTGTTTACAAGCGTACAAAAGCATTTTGGTGAGAATTTTCCAAAAATGTTATTCGTGATTGAATTAAGCGTGATAGTGCGAAAGCCACAAGTAGTTATCGTAAGAGCACTCCAGTATTTAAATGTGAATAAATCTTTTGTGTCTCGTACCATCGCTCATTACCTTGATACTGGTAGTGTAGCCCGACGTCAAGGAAGTGGATGGAAGAAAACATCAGCAGAAATGGTTCGAAAAGTATAGAAGCGACTTGATCAAAACCCGCGTCGCAGTGGCCGAAAAATGGCTCGTGAGCTGAACATATCGCAATATTCCATTCGGCAAATATTGAAAAATGAGCTCGGGGTAAAGCCATTGAAATTCCAAAAAGTGCAAGAATTTAAACCGCAACCGAAAGAAAATAGACTCAAAAAAGCTAAAGAGTTGCTTCGCTTAGTAGTGAACTGCTGAATTTGGTTTTCTCCGATGAGAAAAAATTCGTGGTTCAGCAGTTTGTAAACAAACAAAATGATCGTGTTTACTTGCCAAAGAGGTCAGCTGAAAATATGCACATACGGTTAGCCACCAGAAGTCAAGCGCCGGCTATGGTGATGGTGTGGGCCACCATAACAGCCGATGGTCGCTCTCCGCTCGTATTAATCGACCGTGGCATCAGAATAAATGCCGAATATTATCGCGAAAATATTCTGGAGGGTATATTAATGCCTTGGGCACGCAAACATTTTGGCCGCAGACCTAGGACATTCCAACAGAACTCGAGCCACCCAAGAATGGTTACAAAATGAGGTTCCTCGCTTCATTTCCAGCGCACAATGGCCACCAAAATCTCCGGATACCAATCCGTTGGACTATTGTATTGTAAAGGTCCAAAATACCGCAGAGCAACATTCGGGCAGCGTGTGACGTTTTCATTGGCCGCGAAGGACATATTTCGTGCCAAAGGTGACCAATTCCGACAAATCTAAACTTATTCTAAAATTTGATGCTATTTCCGACATATTTTGCTTTCATGAGTGCTTTAAAAATGAAAAAAAAAGTAAAAATTATGTCGTTTGACTTTGTTGCAGTTTGGTACTTTTTAGTACTTATATCGAAAACCTATTTCAAACCTCAACCCTATATACTAACAGGGATCTCTATGCCAAATTTTAAGCAGTATTCGTTCGGTAGTCCTAAATTTAGTACCGTATATAGTACCTTTGGTAGGCTTGATGAACGCATTTCCCAACCCAACTCTTTATCCCAACCACCAGCATAGACTCCAGTACCAACATTTTATATTTCCAGATCAATCAAAAACAAATTGTACCGAACTTAGTACAATTTAGTACAGTTGTTAAACTTTTTACACATTTCCAAAAAAAAACCTACTTATACCAACACTACTTCCCAAACGTAATTTTCTTACCAAATGTCCAGCTGTATCGGTTCAAAAAATACTAAATGTTACGAAATTTAGTGATTTTTAGTACTTTTAATACACTTTTAGTGTGGATTCCCAAAAACCCAGTTTTATCTTATTCATACCCACCATCATTGACCATATGCAAGATTCATCAGCCTGGGCGTAAAGACCTTTAAGCACTAAGCCGTTTTTCCGTAAACTCAGTAACAACAGTCCTTAAATATGATTCTTTGACAGCGTAAAATTTTCGCATTAAATTTATGAATCGAAACAAATCATTGTGCTTGTGTGTATGTGTGTGAATTTATGGTCTTGGCGCAGTTACGCATGCGTGGTTGGTGTGTTCTGTCGTCTATTTTTAAGCTGCTTTGCTCTGTGGCACTGCACAATGACATATTGTTGTTACTTTCGTTGTTGTCGTCGTCGCCGGCATTGTTGTTGTTTTTGTTGGATTATTTAACTAGGAGTATAACTTTATTTGTTGTTAGACACTGCCAATAGAATTGAGTTCTCGGCGGTGAGCCCAGACTCTTTTGGTGTAGCACCAAAGACTCCGACTCCAATGTGTTTGGCAAGAGAGCCAGATATCTTGCTGGTGGGTTCATGGTTTCTGTTGTTGGTTGCTGCATGTGCCTGGGCAGCAGGCATTGTGCTAATCGTAAGCTTGAATAGAGATTCAATTCAAAGGTTTCTAACGGCAACAACAACAAACACCACACGACCACGGTATTGAATGTTGTGTTCGACGTCATTGTTAACAATTGCAGCGTGTTCTCTTGCACGCTGGCTGGTTGGCTGGTTCACTGACTGACTGCCTGGGAGGCTGCGCTTTAAGAAATTATCAATTGTAACGTGTATATAAAGCGTTTTGGTCATTTGGTAAAGTCATCAGTTCAGCGTTTTCTTGCAAACGGTTGGTATCCTTACCAAAAAAATAACACATTTCGATATTATTCTAAAAGTGAAGAATATTAAAATATTGCAATTGAAATCGATTTGAATTCGTTGGAATAATTAACAAAATATTATTATTGTTGTTATTTTTGTAGATCACCGCTTTAATTCTAGTTTGAAATTGCTCTGTCATAGTTGTTGTATTGCGTGAGTGCGTGTCCTTTTGTTCTTCGGTTGTGATAACTAAACTTGGAATAAAACAAATCAAGATGAAGGTATTGCAAAGAATGAAAACAGAAAAAAACAGAACTTATAAATTGATAAATTGAAAACTCAAAAAAAAAAAAAATTATTTTTAGTGAAAAGGATAAAAACTGTAAACATATACTGAAGTGTCGATATAATGTTTCACAGTGATATAAAATAATACTCAAGACCAATAGTGCTTACAGTTTAAGGTTTTCAATTTAATTTTAAGTATGTAAAAAATATTAGAAGTAATGTTTCGACTTGAACTTTAAAACAGGAAAGCATTTTTAAACAAAGTTCCAAATGTTTAACAAAAGTTGTGATGAAAAATTAAACATTATTACAATTGAAAGTAGCACCACTTAATTGCATTTGCATTGAAGATCAACATTTATTGAAAATATTTTTGGAAAAATAAATGTTGATGAGAGATATGCCTATATTTTAGACCTTAAACTTGGGATATGTTGCAGATTGATTATAGTTTCCTGGTCATTGATATTAAATAAACTTTTATAACATTAAATATGATTAGTCGTTAGAAGCCCTAAATATCATCAAATAAGCATGTTCCGTAACCTTGACTTATGAAGCAGCTATACTGCCTTTTATATATTTTAAATTATATTTTAAATTATAAAAATAAAACGGCATTCTCAATAAAATAAAATATCCAAATTACTGGTAATTTAGTTAAATTCATCCTCAAAGGTACATACCGTTATTTTAGGCCTATAACAAATTGAGGATACATATCTTTTGAGAAAAAATAGTCCGATGTGAGCCAGGTCAAAACCTAAGTTTGATCCTCTTAAAATATCGACAGACAGGAGCATCGCTTGTGAACCGATATAGCGGATTTTTAAAATCAACAATCGTAATACAAACGTGGGTTGAATATTTCAAAGCTCAACATTAAATAATGTAACAAAAAAGGAGGTAATATAAATGTTGTATGGAGTTTTAGACGAGGTGTTACAAACGGATTGACAACATTCAAGTGCTCATTTTGAACTTTAATTATTATAAAATTTAATTAATAAATTCTCTTTTTTGGGAGCATTGGAACTTGCTATCTCTTATATTGGATTTATTTTTGTTGAAAGTTCTAATCCTCAAGCGAGGCTCCCTTAAGAAGTAATCATAGGAAGTCAAAATATTCTACAAAATTAAACTGGGCTACAGAATTAATTTTTTCAATAATTACTGGAAAAATCAAGCAGATTATGAAAGATCATTTAAAAATAGAAGACTCGTTTTTTTTTGAAGTTTATATTAAAAAGTAACTTGTATAACTTTTTTGAAATTTTCGAATTAAGATTCATTAGATATAGAGTTTCTTGGGTAATATAACTGCTAACAATACGAGAAAAACTTTAGTCACCCTCATGCGAGAAATCAATATAGAGATAGAGAAAAAGTTTTTAAAACTTTTTTTTAAAAAGGTCCAAAATGAGACCAGTCCTTTATTTTAAAAATATGATTAAAAACTCGTAGCAATTCAAATCAGTCTAAAAATCATCTCTTATTAAACTCTTCTATAGGTTCAAATTCAAAAGTCTTAAACTAACCTAAAAGCCAGGAATTCATAAGTATTAAAAAACATATTTTAGGATGACAGCCATTCTTCAAATGAGTCGATGTCAAATTCTCCTACAAAAAATCATTTTAGATGGATGAAAAGAAAGATTGATTCAAAAGAAATTTGAATACTCAAGATGTACCACAAAAAATATCATCAATTTTGGTTTTAAAACCACTTTTGACCAATTTAGCACTTTTTCCAAAAAAGTTGCAATTTTTCTTGGAATTTCAATAGCCAGTCTGGGTTGTGGAAAATTTTAAGTGAATTTGATAACACTCAAGACCACAAAAGAGTATCGGGCACTTACACCAAAATTTGTTTATTTATTTTAGGGATATATAACAACATTATTATAGAGATTTGAAAATTGTTAGAGCGATTTGGATTACATAAAGAGTCATTGGATTATAGGTCGAATTTTTGGCATATTTCCCACAAAAAGGAATTTTTCGATTTCAAGGAGTCTTTATGTTTTCGATATATTTTCCATTGAAGTTCCCCAAATTTTAGGATTTTTTTATCTCCAATTTTTGGTAGAACTTTTATGACCATTTTTGAAGAGTATTTCATTCAAATGCTGACCACGACTGCACCTTAAATGGTCCATCCCCTTAGTCCTTTTTCCAACATTTCGGCAAGATGAAATACTGCTGTTTTGTCTTCTAATGTGTCAATTGAAACGGCCTCATTTGTATAGACGCATAGCTCCACAACAATAGTCTAAAGACGTTAAATTGCACGATCTAGTCGCCCAAATGACCGGTCCCAAACATGAAATGAAAAAAAAAAAAAATTTGATATCACATCACGGTAGCGCTCATCATTCACAATTACGTTGCGGTTCACAGCATTTTTGAAGAAGCATGATCCAATGATGCCATCAGCTAATAAACCGCATCAAGATGTGACTTTTCCTGGATGCATCGGTAGTTTCTGCATTACTTCAGACTGATCCCATTGAGCCAGAAACGAAGTTCGTCGCTGACTCAGCTTCTCGAAAAAAGTGGATCTTAGACCAACTTTCCAGAGCCCATTCACCAAAAATGTAAACTGTCCACGCATTTTGATAAAACAATTCAATGATGGGCAAGTAATTTTTGTTTTTAAGACTATTAATGGTTAAATTGAAGTTTGACAGTAAAAGATAACACGAAATGAAATGCATGAGCTGTTTAAACCAGTGTTGCCAAAAAGATAATGACTAAAAAATCACCCTTTATAAAGGTACCCCCGATATGATGGTTTATTTAAATAAACGCCTTTGCAGTCATATCCTGCCAATATATATAATGATCAATTTTATACTTCCAACCGTTTTATCTAGGTGTCTATAGCCCTGTAAAATAATTTCATAGCTATCGTCTGTGTTGGGATGGAATTTAAAGTAATAGTCACATTCGTACATCATAATTTAAGGTTTAGGCTTTCATTGCAATTTTTTTAATTTGTTTTATATAGATGTTATTGTCATTATTATTTTTTGTTAATATTGTTCCCCGTTAACATTTTTCTTTAAGTACTTCATTGCCATCGCCTTACTGGTCGCTGCCGCTCAAGCCATCCCCATTGAATTGGGACACTATGGTCATGGACCACTGCTACATGCTGCTCCAGTCATTGCTCATGCTCCAATTGCTGTACATGCACCCGAACCAGTGGTATGTAACAAATTGAACTTTTGTATTATAAAAACCTATGACTACTTCTCCACCTTCCCTGCAGGCCTATCCCAAATATTCCTTCAACTATGGCATCAAAGACCCCCACACCGGTGATATTAAATCCCAGACAGAAGAACGTGATGGCGATGCTGTCAAGGGTCAATACTCCTTGGTGGAACCTGATGGTTCTGTGCGTACCGTAGACTATACCGCCGATGATCACAATGGTTTTAATGCTGTTGTTCACAAGACCGCACCCAAGGTTATTGCTGCACCAGTTCATGCCATCCACGCCGCTCCCGTATATGCCCATGCTCCAGCACCATTGTTGCATCATTATTAAAAAACAAACAACACGAAACCACAAAAACGTCCGAAGTGAAAAGAAGAAAAGACGAACTATGCTGTCAGGGATGAAGGGGGGTTTTCGAGGGTCAATGCTTCTTTGATAGAAACATTGACAAGGGAATGTCTTTTTTTGTTAGGGGAATCGGTGGGCAATGGAATTGATTTTGAGCTGGATTACGGTATGGCCTAGAATTTTGTAAAACATAATTCTATTCTTTTTAATGATTTCTATATATATCACAGACAGAAAAAAATACGTATTTAAGTTTTAGACATAAATGACCGAGAACATCAAGGCGAGAGAAGCGTCATTGTATTTAAATATTTGTTTAATTTTTAAAACGGAAACGAGAGAATGAAACAAACACATTACTTTTTTGCATGAAGAAAGAAGATATTACCAGTAATTAAAGTATTTTAGATTTTTTTTTTCATATTTTTCATACATATTTTCGAAGAAACGGTTGTCCGGAAATGAAAACAAAAACTGGGAGATTTATAGCAAAAATCTTGTTGACATTTTATTGGAAAGCCCGCTAACAAAGAAAACCACCGTCTTTATTTTTATTAACTCTCAATACTCATAGTCTATTTCTAACTTTAATTGTATTTCACTTTTGTAAATAATTTATTTATTATCTCATGCTGTCTAGTGAGCTTTGTTAGCTGGGTGAACAATAAAAGTTCTGCAGGATTTTACGAAAACGTCTTGGACATTTGTTTATTGTTTCGAGAATGTAATTGAATTGTCTATTCGTTTTGAGTGCCGCATAATATTTGTGCCTTGCCTGAACTCACTCTCGAAGTGCCACTGAGACAATAAACCAGTAAATCTCCTCAATACAACCGTTTACAAATTTCCTTGGCATATCTCTTTCTTGCGTCTCCTTGGACCAGTCTCATGTGCATTTATTCAACCAAGTCTAGAAATTCTCAAATCTCATAATAATTTTAGCTTTTACTTCATAAACAAGAACTCAGTCGTACATTCACTCCCCATTTCTCTTTCTTCAGTTTCTTTTTCCCATTTCTCCAAGCTCTCAATGCTTTTCTTCTCTACATAGAATCATTACTCGCTATTTCTCTTATCCTCTCAAAAACTCAATCAATCAATCACTCACTCATCTAATGTATGTAATATTCTTATTTTTTATGTTTTGTATAATTAAATTTCACAAATCACGTTTGCAACAAAACAAAATGTTAATGTAAATATATATTGAAAGAAAGAAATAAAAAAAACGAAAAAAAGATTAAAATAAAAATAAAATGAAAAATAATCTTTACTTGTTTTTATTTCAAATGGAAGTTTGTGTCTTAAGTCTTTTGTTTTCAAACAGACAAGGCAGCTGAAAGTACTTAATTAAATGGAAAATATTAATATTCTTAAAAAAAGATCTGAGAACATAGTTTTCAACGGCTTGAAGAAAATGTTGGGGAGTCGTGTATGAAATTAAAAATGTTGATTCAATACTGTTATGGAATTTCGGGGGATATTATTTGGAGTGTTTGAAGGTAATATTTTTATGGAGACAAATACATTTATGTGCTAAAATGATATAAATCCTAACCAATCTGTCAGATTATGATTGAAGCTGATGTTGATATGAAACCGAAGTAATTGTCGATTTAAAAAAAGGATATTTTATATTCAAAAGATCATAGAGATTGTTCCGAACACAATTGTTTGATCTAAAGAGAGCAGTGGATGTGAAACAAACAAATCGAAATCGTCATCACTGATATCTAAAGTATTAAAAAAATATACATACTAAATCAAAGTTAGTCAAGAAATGGGTCAACAATTTTAAAGTTTGAACGTGGCGTGGTCCCAAAGATGTCCCTTAAGGGTTCGATACGGCAAGTACATTTTCAATAAAATGCATTTGAATTCTTATATTCAGAATTGCTTAGAGCTGACTGAAATGGTCAGGCTTACATCGTTCTCCACTAATAAACAAACGTTGTTTTTATAAAAACAACAATAAAGGGATAAGCCTGACCATTTTGCAACAACAAAATACTACGGTATCCCGAACAAACAAGCCACACTGTTCTATTTATAGACAAGGCACGGTCGACGAAGGGGTTTTTGTTGTAACAGACAAAACCAACTTACATGGTTATGCTACTTCGTTCAGGTTGAACGAAAGCATAACAAGTGGAGAAAGATGTAAATGTTTATAAGTGCGGTTGTAAGATTTAGAAGACTTTCCAAAATAATTTTAGTTTTATTTAATTCTTTGGTTCCTCTTCCATTGAGCTTACGATCTCGTCACTTGGGTAAAAAATGTTTTTTTGTCATAGAAGTTATTTTTTAAAATAACTTCTGGGGAGAATATCCCAGACAAAAAACAAGGGAACTGATGAGGATTGGTGGCTCTTTCCGAAACCTAGGTATTCCCTGCCTTACCCCCTGGTAAACATTACCATCGTTCTCCACTAATAAACAAACGTTGTTTTTATAAAAACAACATTAAAGGGATAAGCCTGACCATTTTGCAACAACAAAATAATATATTTTTTTACTGGAATAGCATATGCCGACTACTGGCAAATAGACATGCCGAGCATTGGAAAATGGTGCCGACTACTGGCAAAAACCTACTATTTTAGTAAAATTTAATAAAAACAAATCCAATTGTTGTTTATTATTTCGAAAACTAAACAAAATTTGGAATCTGAACAACTTTATTTTTCTGCAATTGAAAGATTTCACTCAGAATGTCGAAAGATTGAAATATTGAAAAGCCTGAAAGTGCCGACTACTGGTACACTTACCCTATGTAAAGAAAATCGAACATTTATTACTAATTTTATGCGAATAATAAGAATGTTGAACTGTTGTCTATTCCATATTCACATCAAGTCCCTGGTTGAGTAGATATTTGGATATACCAGGTTTAAAAAGCATTGCTGACTTGTTTCGGAAGTTATGAGATATATGATTCTTAACATGAAATCTTGTGTTAGTAGAAATATTGGGATGTGTGAAACTTAGAAAGAATTAGATGCGTATTTCACATTTGTAAAATTACTCCTTTGTGGAGGAGGTTCCAAAAGGGGTGGGCTGATATATTCAATCTTCACATAAGATCTTATGTTAGTATAAAAATTAGAATGGGGGAAGTTTAGCTTATGATTATTTCGCATTTATGAGCATTTTGGTTATTCAAAATGTTAACATCATTGAACTGATGCATCCCATCTTCATACCAGATCTTTGGTTTGTACAAATATTGGGATGTGTGAAATTTAAAGAGAATCGGAAGCCAAATGAGATACTCCCTTCAAGAGTTATCATGCGCATCAGCCAGGCAGACGGACGGACAGACACCTTTAGATCGACTCCAAATGTCCTGAAACGGCTTAGGTCGTGGTTAATTTGTTTTGGCCGTATCAAATGATATGTACCATATGGCTGAGGGCTCTAGCCATATGGCTGAGGGTATATTAACGGGTAAAACCTGCAATTTTTTGTGTTCACTTGTAAATACCTCAAAAATTAGGAACGGTCACACAGAGGAGTAACCTGACAAACAGACTGAAGAATATGACAAAATCGGTATAAAATCATGAAAATAAGAATATATTTGTAAAATGTTTATTGAATAATAAATTTAACCCATGTGCCAGTAGGCACAGCAGGCACGATATTATTAAATTCATAATGGGTACTTCAGCCTATGAGAAAAAATTGCATATGCAAGACTACGTCTTCGTATAGTCACCATAACGATACCTCCCGACATTCGGTATTTTGATGATATTAGGAACATTGTTTACCGGAATGGTTTCAAATTTACTTGTTTTAAATCTATTTCTCTTCAAAATGTTGACTATTGTTCTACATTATAACGTTAGAAAATTAAGAAAACTCAGGGAGAATTTTCTATAATAATTAGGATTATTAAAAACTTTAACCCTTTGAGGGGCAGGATTTGAAAGTGGCGGGTGTTGTTGACGAGTAGATAGTTTTACCCGTGTGTTTGTGAGAAGCCAGTATCAGTGGACTGATTAATCCGACATCGCTTGAGATCTAGACTAAATCGAATTTTTCATCTAAGGTAGTGCTAAAAATAGAATGAATACATGTTTATCGATGTTTATTTTGTAAAGTTAATTAGAGAGGGCAAAAAATCAACCCCTCCACCTCTTTTTTTAAAATTTCGGATTACGATTTCTTGAAAACCTTGCATTTGAAATAAATAGTGTCTGCTGCAATATTACTGATAAAAATAAGAGGATTATTTCGTTATTTTTAAACCTCAAGTGTGTCACCAAAGGTGTTTTTTGGCCCTTTTTTAAAATATTGTAAGAAACACGATTTATGCTGGAACGTAGTAGGTGAAAATATTTTCCAAAAATATAGGTCCCAGAATATATAAATTAGCTATGGGCAGCCTCGAATGAAAAAGTGATTTGGCAGGGCGAGAGAGTCTATTACCACTACTAATGCATATATTGTAAGCAAGGCTGACTTCAAGGGAATTTATGCGAAATTCTTCAACAAAGTATGATTTTAGAAGTATGATGTCAAAGCCAAAGATATTCTTCATTACATTTTATTATAAGTCACAAAGAAAAAATTCTTATTTTCTGTAAGTTTTGTTTTATTTCAAGAAAATATTTGCATCAATGCAGCCAAAATTTTTTTTTTTAACAATAATTCTTCTACTCTTTTTCGATTTGATGCTGGAAAATGAATTAAAGTCAAGTTTTAGACAGAAGGTACTAAAAATGAAATATTCTAAATGTTTAAATTGCAAGAAAAAAAAATAAACACTCTGTCAATGTTTCCATTCTTAGCTAAAATCTTTCTAATATCCCTAAAATCTCATTTTGTGAGGAAAGCGTCAAAGGAAGCAATTCTCTAGATCAAATTCCATTGTGAGTCTCCGAACAAAATGATATCAATGGCTTATAATTGTAATTATTTTCAACAAATTTAACATTGCGAATTTGCTGTAAATTTTCTTATAATTTGTAGAGGCTGGTTTAGGCTGTGGAAAACACCAAGTTGATTTTTTAGATCTCGGTTTGTAGATCAAAACCAAAAAAGGGTTCTTAGGCCATGCACGCAGATACACCAATATTTTGAGATATATCTTGAAACATTTAATATACAGTTTAAGAACATTTATAGAGGGATTTGGAAAACTTTAAAAATCATGGGGCGGACATGCTACTGCACGTTTTGGTATAGTGCACACATCTGTAATTGGGACCTGCAGGGCGACTGCGAAATTAGAAATAAATTCATTTTTTGGTCTAAATTTTGTGATGAACAAGTTATAACTGAGTCCTGATTAGAAAATAACATGGACAGACGGAGGAGCACACATATCTAGATGAACGCAACTCCTGGATGTATGAAGATCAATATACAGTATCGTGGGTCTATGAAATAGATAGGCAAATATGTATGTATTGTGTCTCTTTTTCTCTGTCATGACAGAATAATCAATTAGCAAATGTTTACAAAAAAATAAATAAATAAAAAATAAATATAAAAAAACGTCTTTATTATTTCTGTTTAAAAATTATTAAATAAGTAAAAACTTAACGAAGGAAGAAATTCTCTTTTACTATTTTGTCCATATATTGGTCTAATATCAACATCTCGCGGTATTACAAATCTAAATCTAATATGAATGGACCGACATATTTTACCTTCGAGCCTGATCTTATTTAGGAATAAATATTTGTGTTTTCTTTTTTGGTCTGTCCATAACTTTCTTTGGATAGAGATTTGTAAAGCTCTACGATATGACTACTTTGTATGTACCTGTACCCAATATTTATTAACAATTTAAATTCTTTCCAAGAGCCTATATTTCTCTTGAGTAATTTTCTGAATCCAGAATTCCACACATGTCGATTTTCAACGCGCACTTTTTTGACCTGCTAGTCACATTGCATTTCGTAATAACCCATGGTAGCAGGTGACAATGTAAGTCTCACAATTTCCAGCAAGACCAACGATTATGGTAAAGTACATATTCAATTTTGGCAACTTAACAATAATATTCTGCAACAAGAGCAAAGTGCAGCTGTAGCCATTAGAAAAGGAAACAAATAGCCTGAGCAGATTTTTCGTGGCGTTGTTGTTAAACAGAAAAACAACAACAACGACGCCTTTGCTGTTGAACAGAATTTGTGCAAATGTGTTGCCATTAGAAAAAGAAAAACATTTGTGAACTGTGGCGTGAGATTCAAATGCTCCAACCTGAGCTGGTGCAGTATAATTTTTTTGGATTTTCAGCTGACAACTAATGGACGAACGAACGCTGGCAGTAAGAAGCTGTGTGTACTACGTGTACGTACTTACATACATCTATCCATCCAATATATCTGGGAGCGTAAATTTTCTTGGGCTGAATGGCTGGCTGGCTGTCTGCCTGGTGTGGTGGTGTATTTTGTTCGTTTCTTTTTTTTTGCATCTTTAAAGTTTTGTCTGCCAAAAACTGCAGTCGTCAGTGAGTACAACAAAAGCTAGCATAAAGGTTTTTTTTTCCATGTGGCAGCATTTGATGCTAGATGCTGCATAATTCAGTGCGCGCAGCCGAGCTGCAGCCGGGGTGCATTATTTCTGACAAACAATGGAAACGCGAAACGTATATAAATACTTTTGGTCATTTGTTGTAGGCATCAGTTTAAGATTTTCCTGCAAACGGTTGGTAATCGTACCAAGTATTTTTCCCTCCATTAGTTACAGCTTAAAGCAGTGTTGAAAAAGGTTGTGTGGTTTCGTTTGTTTTTAGGTCGTCGTTGTTGGTTTTCTTCTATAGCGGGAGTGTTAGCGTGAATGCGAATCCTTGTCGTTTCGATTGCGAAGTGTTTTTAACGGAAAATAACAAGCAAAATGAAGGTATTACAAAATAATAATAGAAAATACAATGTAAATTCGAAAGGACATGAAAGGACATGAAAGAACTGAAAAAATGAAAAAAAAATATATATCCTTGTGACATTAGTGGAAATTTAAAGGATATTAGATTTTATGTTGGTAAATAAAATCGAAGCAAAATTATAAATTTTTGAATGCTTTGAAGTTGGTATAATTGTGGGTGATTGGAATTTTCTGGACCAATAACAAATCTGGAAACAGATTTGTAGTGAAACATAATATTTGTGAGTGGAAAAAATCAGTGCCACGCGTAACCCTGAGAAGTAAATATCGATATCTTCAAGTAAATTTTCTATAATTGCTATCATCGCTGGAGCATAAAAAAGTTCTTGCCATAGAAGTTGTTTTAAACAATTTCTGGGGAGAATAACCCAGACAACAACCAAGGGTGCTTTCAAGGAACAAAAATGTATGTAAATATACAGAAAGTACTAGAAGATATCAAGGATAAGAAAAAAACATTTTTTTTTTTTGAAAAAGGATTGATTTTCACCTAAAGCCGAGAGACTGATAACAAAATCTAGTCTTGAAGGACAAAAGTAAATTCTATTAGACTATCGATATACAGGATATGGCAAGATTTTTTTATAGAATTTTCAAGGACTGTTAAAATTTAACAGCCAGTGTTTTGGGATAATTCGTCCCCAATGGGAAAAAGGTAACAATAACCAAACAAAACGCAGGTAATAAAACACAAAGGGCATTCGTCGAGGTGATATGTTTATCCTTTGAAAATAACATTTTAAGTTTAGATACATAGAGAAGGTATTAGCATGTCCGATGAGTTTCAATATTGAAAAATACACGCAAGCATATAAGTTTAAGTAAGAGCTTTACTTTAAATTATAATTTTACCTTCACATTTTATGGGGTCCAAAAAAGGCAAAATGAATTCCCCCTCCATATTGTTGCGGGGAATTTTTGAACAACAGTTTTCTATGCATAATATGAATTAAATTTCGGAATCGATTCCAAGGTCTTGTCTAAAAACTTTAACCTGCAGTCGAAGTATGGTCGAAAAATGGTTTGACTCTACTTTATCCCTGTTTCCAGCTCTTATTACAACAGGATAAAGAATAAAAGGAGGTCACCTTTTGAATAACCGTTGTCCATTAAAATAAGAACAAGTAAGCAAAGGCTATAGTCGTGCGGGGCCGACCACTAAAATATGGGAGAAGCCCCCTTATGTCCAAATCCGTTTTGGAAGATTTCGCTTTTTAAAGTATGTCATAGAGCATTGCCTAGATATTACCCTATTCCAGCTATTTTGTATATACACATTGTATATATTTCGATATATACATCCGATATATTTCCTATTGGCATCTACGTAACGGTCAGAATTTACCTTTTCGTCTATTTGTGATTTCGCCGGGATTAAAAATATTCGCGGTTTAATGGAGAATTTGACTTCTATGTAACACAAATATTATGGCCTATTTCACCCACTAAAAATATTACTCGATGACCATCAAAATTGAAAGACTTCTGCCCAGCCCTAAGCTCTAGTCCCATGCTAAATTCCGCGTCGATGGATCTATCATTAAATTTTATGCGATCATCTCCAAAAGAAATAGGGTTCTATACTGGCCCCAGTCCCACCTCCATTCTAAATTTCGTGAAGATCGGGCCATAATTGCGACCTATAGAGTGATTACAAATTAACATGGACAGACGAACAGACGGACGGACGGACATACATAGCTAGATTGACTCAGCTCGGCGAGATAGGAAGATCCATATATACTTTCCTATGTGGGAAACCAATATTTCGAGGTGTTACATAATTTTTGGCCCAATCAAACTTATAATACCCCCAACACATAGTGTTGTAGGTATAAACATCAAGTAAAGGCTATAGTCGGACGGAGCCAATCATTTGATACCTTACAACACTACATTTGATGTAATTTCTGCAGATCTGAAAATTCCACTAAAAATATCTAATAATAAAAACAAATGTTGAACCTAACCGCTCCTTTTTTCGAATAATCATCAGCGAGCTGGTACCAATATTTTCAAAAAAAAAAAAAAAAAAAAAAAAAAAACATAGGATCTCTAAACGGTTGGTCTTTGAAGGATCAGATGTGCCTATTACGTCAAAAATCTTCGAAGCATTTTCCATATATTTACGCCCTATGTAGCGTTAATGGGTATTTAAAACTCTGATATTTGGCTAAAGATGTGTAATATTGGTATTTTTTCACGGACGAACTCACATAGCTAAATCTATTCAGCTCGGCGAGAAAGGAAGACATATACTGGGTGAGATAAAAAAATTGCAACAAAGTCAAATGCCCTAAATTTTACATTTTTTAAATTTTATTGAATGAAAGCAAAAAATGTCGGAAAAGTATTAAATTTTAGAATAAGTTTAGATTCGTTCGAATTGGTCACCTTTGGCACGAATTATGGCCTTCAAACGACCAATGAAACCGTCACACGATGCCCGAATGTTGCTCTGCGGTATTTTGACCCATTCTCGGCGAAGCGCTTGCTTGAGGTGATCGACACTTTGGTATTTTTTAGTGCCAACCTTGCTTTCCAAAATACTCCAGACACAAAAGTCCAATGGTTTGGTATCCGGAGATTTTTGGGGGCCATTGTGAGCTGGAAATGAAGCGAGGAACTTCCTTTTGTAACCATTCTTAAGTGGCGCGTGCTGAGAGCGTTGGTGCTGAATCCTGTTGGCCAAAATGTTTTCATGCCTCAGGCTTTAATACAACCTCCATAAAATTTTCGCTATAATATTCGGCATTTATTCTGATGGTCGATTAATACGAGCGGAGAGCCACCATCGGCCGGCGCTTGAGTTCTGGTGGCCAACCGAATGTGCACATTTTCAACTGACCTCTTTGGCAAGAAAACACGATCATTTTGTTTGTTTACAAACAGCTGGACAACGAATGTTTTCTCATCGGAGACGGAGAAACCCAAATTCGGCAGTTCACAACTTTCGGCCAAGCGAAGCAACTCTTTAGCTCCTTATCTTTCTGTTGCGGTGTAAGTTCTTGAACTTTTTGGAATTTCAATGGCCTCACACCGAGCTCATTTTTCAATATTTGCCGAATGTTATATTATGATACGTTCAGTTCAAGGGTCATTTTTCAGCCACTGCGACGCGGGTTTCTTTACTTTTCGAACCATTTCTGCTGATGTTGCTGTTTTCTTCCGTCCACTTCCTTGACGTCGGGCTACGCTACCAGTATCACGGTAACGAGCGATGGTACGAGACACAAAAGATTGATTCACATTTGAATGCTGGAGTGCTCTAACAATAGCCACTTGTGGTTTTCCAGTCAAATATAAAGTAACTTTTTTTCTGGAAAATTCTCCCCAAAATGCATTTGTACGCTTATAAACAATATAATGAGCTGTTACTGGAATAATTTTAATAGCTGTCGGACGAGTGGCTTTTAAATGACAGCAGTCTGAAATTGGTTGCAGTTTTTTCATCTCACCCGTTCTATTTCAAGTATATTTTTCGCCAAATGTGTAACATTAGCCCAAATTGGATGAATTTTGGCTAATTATTTTCGGTGCCTTTTTTAAGTTTTGTCGAGATTGGTTCAGATTCGGATACATCTCTCACATATAATTCCAAATTTGACCAAATAAAGTAGTTTCATCCGATTTTATATATAAGTATTCTGAAAGTCATAACTTGTCATTTATAGCAGCGATATTTGGTTCGAGAGGTCACATTCAATACAGCTTTATCCTATTAAAGTTTAGTGGATATCGATTAAAAAAAAAGGTTCCATAGCTTACTTTCGACCGATTTCAAATTTCAAACAGCTCTAAAGGCTTAATACGCAATTAATACCTAAATTGCCAATATGAACGTTTATGTGCTACACGGGACTCTACTAAATACTTATAGAGGTGTTGGGTATAATAAAGTCGACACCGCCCGACTTTTGCCTATCCTTACTGTTTCAAATTAAATTAAAAAAAATGACATCAGTGATACACATTTTTGTTAAATCTATATGAACATGGAATTTTCCAAAATGTGATAATTCCAACCCAAAATGGAAAATCTGTGGCATTGGGTTAATAATCTGCTTACTGCTACCGATTGCCTGATTTTTGAAATTTCATTACAATTAATTCCCCTTGTATTCTTTTAGTTCTTCATTGCCATAGCTGCATTATTTATTGCTGCAACTCAAGCCAGTCCCATTGAATTGGGTCATTATGGTCATGGGGCAATTCTGGCACATGCTCCAGTACATGCTGTTCATGCTGAGCCTGTGGTATGTTACATAACATCATTCTAATTTTAAATATTCGATATATTCTAGAAAATCTGAATTTTTCTAGGCCTATCCAAAATATTCATTCAATTATGGCATCAAGGATCCCCATACCGGTGATATTAAATCTCAAGCTGAGGAACGTGATGGTGATGTAGTCAAGGGCCACTACTCGTTGGTTGAACCCGATGGCTCCGTGCGTACCGTCAACTACAGTGCCGATGATCATAGTGGCTTCAATGCTGTTGTCCACAAGTCTGCGCCAGCTGTGCATGCAGCCCCCGTCCATGCTCCCGCCTATGCCCATGCTCCATTGTTGCATCACTATTAGGGTTAAGAATGTATGAATGAATGACTAAACCGAATGATATGAACGAATGAATGAAATTCGCAGAAGTAAGTTATGGGTGTGGGAAGAGAAACACAAAAAAAAAAGAAGTTAAGGACAAATGGATTGGATAATGAACTGGAACAATGTTTGACATGGTTTTTTTTTATCTTTACACGAATTCGTTTTGTAACTAAAGATATGTAAATAAGTTTTTATTTTTTTATTTTTCGTTTAACTACAAATCAGCTGTCATATGTAGGATCGCGTTTACTAATTTTTATGCAATTTGTATTTTTTTTGTTTAATTTAGATTTAAGTTGTGAAATTATTATTCTGTTAGTACAAGTTTGAAACAAACAACTTTTTTTCGTTTCTTTACTTTTCTCTCTCAAGCTGTTACTTTTCTTTCTCATCAACTCAGTTGCCTTGGAGAAAATCTTAGAATGACATGCAAAGGGTTTTGTTCAAGTCCCTATAGAACGCCACCGAAGCCCCTTAGCAAAGAAACCACCGTCTATATTTTTTTATTACACTTAACGCTCCTAGTCTGTCATAACTTTAATTTATTTTCACCTTTTGTAAATAATTTATTTATTTTCTTTAGCTCTCTAGTTAACTTTGTGATATGGTTTTGTGGCCACCAAAAAGGGAACTTGATTTTAAACATGGCAAAGGCATGTCTCTGCATTGCCTCTAGAAAGTCAAAACAACAATGGTTATGGAATATGCATAATATTTATGCCAGGACTTGTAATCTAATGGTGCCATTGAGGCAACATTTAACAAATTTCTGAAACTGAGTTCTCCGACTTTATTTCCTTTCAATCACTAAAATCTCTCATAGAAATATCGAGCCGGTTACTGTGCATTATTACAACTTATTTTCTTTGAAAAAATCTTCTCATTCACTTTTTAGAATTTGTAAATAGAAACAAAGTATTTTTCTCTATTTTTTAATTGAATTATTTTCTTAATTGTATATTTTTATTGAAATTTGTCACATGTAAATAATTTTTTTTGTAATCTTTGTAATGTCTCTCTCTCATTTATCGCTATCACTCTCTCATTACATTGTGTATAAAAATATGTATATATTTAAGGATATATTCCCTTTTTTTGCATTTACAACAAAACAAAATGTTTTTGTTTATATAAAAAATAAATATAAAATAATAATATTTTAAAAATAGTTTGTTTTACTTGACAACTGAGTGGTATAACAAAAGACTTAAGACACGAACTTGAGTTAATTTCGAATTAAAATTTGATTTCGCAACACCTCACCTGCAAGCATATACTTTACATATTTTGTATACCCTTAATGCTAATATTTCATCAATGCAAGGTCGGGTGCAAAAACGGACAATATCGGTCGACTCCATCAAATACCACCACCACAAAGGTCAAAATTTTGAATAATTATAATTCTTATAAGACGTGATATAAGTGTCCAATTGTCCTCAAATTACACATATCACAATATTTGTATTTATCCAAGTTTTGGTGTGACGACGGAATATATAGGTCTACTCCATCAAGTAACTCCCCCACAAAGGGTCAAAATACTGAATAATTTTAACTATATAAAATCTGGAATTATGACTTCATTGTTTTCAACTTTCGCGCATCTCAATATTTTTACCAACATAAGATCTGGCATGAAGATGGTACATATCGAAGCACCCCTTTTTATACCTCCCCCACAAAGGTTCAACATTTTTGAATAATTATATATCTCATGTATCTCATGGAAAGCGAAATAAGCTCCTGATTCTCCTAAAATTTCGCCCATGCCAATATTTCTACTAACACAAGATCTGCTGTGAAGATGGGATACATCGGCTACCAGCTTCTGGTAGTCAAAATATTGAATAATTATAACTATATAAAATCTAGAATAATGGCTCCATTGTTTTCAACTTTCGCGCATCTCAATATTTATACCAACACAAGATCTGGTATGAAGACGGTGCATATCGAAGCACCCCTTCTTATACCTGCCCCACAAAGGGTCAAAATTTTGAATAATTATGTATCTCATGGAATGCGAAGTAAGCTCCTGATTCTCCTAAAATTTCACCCATGCCAATATTTCTACTAACACAAGATCTGCTGTGAAGATGGGATACATCGGCTACCAGCTTCTGCTACCTCCCCCACAAAAGGTCAAAATATTAAATAACTATAACTATATAAAATCTGAAATAATGACTCCATTGTTTTCAACATTCGCGCATGTCAATATTTTTACCAACACAAGATCTGGTATGAAGATTGTACATATCGAACCACCATTCTTATACCTACCATACAACGGATCAGAATTTTGAATAATCATGTATCTTATGGAATGCAAAATAAGCTCCTGATTCTCCAAAAATTTCACCCATGCCAATATTTCTACTAACACAAGATCTTCTGTGAAGATGGGATACATCGGCTACCTGTTTGTGGTACCTCCCCCACAAATAAAATAAATAAAAATAAATATTCACGAAGCTCACAAAATGCGAAATTAATATCCGATTCCATTCAGACTTCGCACATCTCAATATTTTCATCAATAAAACATCTGTTATAAAGATGATAGAAATCGGACCATTCCTTCTGGTACCTCCCAAACAAAGGGTCTAAGTTTTGAATAATCATAATCATAAAATCTGAAATAAGCATCCGTTTCTTTTTATATTTCACACATCCCATTATTTCTACTAATAAGAGATCTAGTGTTAAGATGGGGTATATCGGTCTACTCCTTCTGGTATCTACCCCACAAAGAGTCAACATTTTTAATAGCCATGATCTCATAAAACGTGAATTTAACATGCGATTTTATTTAGACTTGGTACATCTCAATATTTCCATCAACACAAGATCTGTTATAAATATGGTATAAATCCGACCATTTCTTCTGGTACCTCCCCCACATAGGGTTCAAGATATAGAAAAACAAAACGCTCAAAGAAACCGAAGAAAGCTTTCAACTATATTCAAAAAACTGCAACCAACTTCAGACTGCTGTCATTTCTAAGCCATTTGTTTGACAGCTGTTAAAATTATTCCAGTGACAGTTCATTATATTGTTTAAAAGTGTGCAAAAGCATTTTGGTGAGAATTTTTCAGAAAAAAAGTTATTCGTCATGGAATTCAAGCGTGATCGTGCGATTTCCTTATTTATGGCTGGAAAACCACAAGTGATCATTAGAACACTCCAGCGTTTAAGTGTGAATAAATCTTTTGTGTCTCCCGACGTTTAAGAAGTGAACGCTAGAAAACAGCAACATTAGCAGAAATGGATCGATGAGTAAAGAAGCGAAATGATCGAAACCCGCGTCGCTGTGGCCAAAAAAGTGGTTCGTGAGCTGAACATATGAACATACAAAATTATCGTGTTTACTTGGTCAGCTGAAAATGTGCACCTTCAGTTGGCCACCAGAACTTAAACGCCAGCCATGGTGATGGTGTGGGCAGCCATAACAGCCGATGGTCACTCTTCGCTCGCTGATGGCCAATCTTCGCTTCATAAGAATAAATGCCGAATATTATCGCGAAAATATTCTGGAGGATGTATTAAAGCCAAAACTCAGCACCATCGCACTCAGCACGCGCCACCCAAGAATGATTACAAAAAAAAGTTCCTCGCTTCATTTCCAGCGCACAATGGCCACCAAAATCTCTGGTTACCAATCCGTTGGACTATTGTGTCTGGAGTATTGTGGAAAGCAAGTTTGGCAGTAAAAAATACCAAAGTGTCGATCACCTCAAACAAGCGCTTCGCCAGGAATGGGCCAAAATACCACAGAGCAACATTCGGCGTTTGACGGTTTTGTTGGCCGTTTGAAGGCCATAATTCGTGCCAAAGGTGGCCAGTTCGAACAAATCTAAACTTATTCTAAAATGTGATGCTATTTCCGGCATTTATTGCTTTCATTCAATAAAATTTAAAAAAAAGTAAAAATTATGAATTTTGACTTTGTTTAAGTTTTTTTATCTCACCCTGTATCTGTTAACTCACGCATATTTCCACATTTTCCACAAATTTGCACAAATCTCATATAACGTATAGGAAGTAGTCGATATAGTCCAAGTCTGGCACGTTGTGATATTTATATCAGTCTTAGGTCAGATATAATTGGTCAATATTGGCCAACTGTTTCGGAACCTCTCCCACAAAGGGTTAACAGTTTGAATAATCATAACTCAAGTCTGGGGGTATACATCTGTCGATAAAACCGACTAATACTATTTTATTTGTTTAATACTTTAATACTTCAATATATTTCCAATGGAGGTCAAAATCTCGCTTATGTTTGAGAAAAATGTCAAGGAAAAAAGGCTAAATTAAATGTCTATGGGAAACTCTAAACAAAAAATAAATAAATAAATAAATAAATAAATAAATAAATAAATAAATAAATAAATAAATAAATAAATTAATATAAATAAAAAAATCGAAAAATTAATAATTAATATTATCACAAAAATCACCAACATATGATGTTTAGTAAATGATCGGTTCTTAAAATATTCCCTACATTTAGTACATTTTTATTTTGATAAAAAATATATTTTGATAAAATATATAATATATAATTCTTCATAAATTCTTGTTTTTTTCTGTTTATCTTATTTTGCAACTATTATGAGATAAACAAATAAAATGTTATTTAATTTCTCGTGTAATCAAAACATAAATTTTGTAACAAACCACTTTCGGATTTGTTGTTGTGTTTTTTTGCAATTCATTTAAAATTGGATAGTTTTTGGATAGCACACATCGTAAATAGCGAAATATTGTTAATTTGCCGACTACACAGTTAGATATTACATTTGCCAGACTGGGGAAAAAAGTTTGGGAGTTGACTCTGGAAATGCAAGTTGCGTCGCCGCCGGTGAGAGTAGTCAGCAGTTCGGGCAGATTTATTAATTATCGAGTTTCAAGCAGAAATGAAGCAGAGCACAGTGGAAATCTAAAAGATAAATTAAATGATAAAGTAAAAAGCCAAAGAAGTGCTATCTCTTCTTACGATGCATCCCATTGTCACCACGTGTTGGCCCACTGTTCCATGACCATAAAGTCCACCTCATTACAAATTATACGACCACTCAATAGTTAGCTGCTGTGCCTTCATTTTTCTGCATATTTGGCATGATGGCCTGCCGAATGCAATTGACGTCCAGCATATAAAGAGTTTTGGTCATCTGCAATGGCCAACAGTCCAGCGTTATCTGGCCAAGTGTTTGGATCCATAACGAAAGTGTAGCCGAGATCGTGAACAACTTTTTAGTGTGTCAACCAAAAACGGAACTATCCAATCGAATAGAAAGTGAACGAAAATGAAGGTACACATTTGTCATATTGATGGCATGAGTGACATAATGAAAGAAAATTGCAAAAAATGGATTATATAATGAGAAAACTATTTGAAGTGATATCAAATAATGCATTGACTTAAACGTAGTGCATGTTAAAGGATTGATAATAGTATATATTGTAATTGAAATTGAAATGAAGTGAAATGAAAATCTTTCACAAATGAAAATTCTACACTATACCTGTGGCCGTATAAAAATTGAGAGGCCATGGAAGTGTTAAAATGAAAATCTACAAATTAAGAATATATAACATTTGTAAACTTCGATCATATAACGTCTGAGAAATTCCTCATTTTTCATTAATATTTGTGGAAAGGCAGAAAACTCTAAAGCTCTAAAGAACGAATTGTGATATCTTAATATACTATACATTCTGTGTACCAGAATTTAGTCTCAATATTGCGGCTGGTTCTCGCTCACTAGATTTTTGGAGTTGGTGTCTATAACGATTACACTGTGTGAATCCTGAGATCATTTTTTAAGGGCATAAAACGTCTATTTTCATTGAGTGGTTGTAATGCACTATTTTTTGTTGTTTCCGCTCTTCTCTGTTGACTTATACAGGGGCCAAAATACATACAATATTACGTAATTTAAAAAATTTAACTCATGTTAAAAATAAACAAGTTAAAAAGCTGTAAGTTCGACCACCATTCGGAACGAATTTGGAAATTTTCAAAAAAAAAATAACAAGTAAAAAAGCTGTAAGTTCGGCCGGGCCGAACTTTTAATACCCTCCACCATTTGGTACAAATTTGGCAATTTCCAAAAAATAAAATCCGTTAAAAATTCTGTTAAAATCTTAAGAATACCGAGTGCTTATACGACGACGTGGGCCTGCATAGGCATATTTTGTCATAAGTTGTTACAATAATTTAAATGTGAAACTTGATGAAAAATCTGTTTTTAATGAAGTTAAAATCATTAAAATACCGAATATGGGGGGGGGGGGGGGTACCGTTATATGGGGGCTATTCGAAAACGTGGACCTGCACAGACAATTTTCTGGCATGGGCTGAAGTATCCATTACGAACTTCACATGCGAAATTTAAAACAATAAATAATGTCCCTAAAATCATCAAAATACCGAATATCGGGGGGTACGGTATATGGGGCTATATGAAGATGTGGACCTGCACAGAAAATTTTCTGTCTTAGGCCGTAGTATCCATTACGAACTTCAAATACCAAATTTGGAACGATTTCGCTAAATAATGTCGTTTAAATCATCAAAATACCGAAAATCGGGGGGTACCCTTATATGGGGGCTATACGAAGACTTGGACCTACATGGCTCATTTTTTGACTTAGGATTTAGTATCCATTACAAACTTCAAATACCAAATTTGAAACGATTCCGGTAAACAATGTCGCTAAAATCATTAAAATCCCGAATATCGGCGGGTATCGTTATATGGGGACTATATGAATACGTGGACCTACATGGCTCATTCTTTGGCTTACGATGTAGTATCCATTACGAACTTCAAATGCCAAATTTGAAACAATTCCGATGAATAATGTCGCTAAAATCATCAAAATACCAAATATCGGGAGGTACCATTATATGGGGGCTATATGATAACTTGGACCTACATGGCCCTTTTTCGAACTTAACCTGCCTACTGGCAAAATATACATGTGTGCAAAATTTTAGCCTTCTATCTCAATTTGTTCGAAAGATAGCGTGATTACAACAGACAGACAGACGGACAGACAGACAGACAGACAGACAGACACACAGACAGACAGACAGACGGACATGGCTAAATCGCCTTAGAATTTTACGCTGATCAAGAATATATATACTTTGTTGGGTCTGACATGAGTATTTCGAGGAGTTACAAACGGAATGACAAAATGAATATACCCTCCATAGTATGGTGGAGGGTATAAAAATAAATAAATAAATAAATAATAAAACTAAATAATAGAATGCGTTAATAATTCTGCTAAAATCTTAAAAAACGAAAATAGGGAGTTACCGTTATTTTGGAGTCCATACGAAGACGTGAGCTACCATAGGCAATTTTCTGTCACAGGCTATATAACTCATATTGAAGTGCAAATACGAAATTTGAAACAATTCCGGAGAATAGGGAGGATACCGATATTTAGGGGCTATACGAAGACCTGGACCTGCATAGACAATTTTCTGTCATAGGCTGTAGTAACCATTACGAATTTCAAATACCAAATTAGAAACAATTCCGGCGATTAGTGTCGCTGAAATCAGTAAAATACGGAATACAGGGAGGTACCGATATATGGAGTCTATATGAAAACCTGGGTCTGCATAGATAATTTTCTGTTATAGATTGTGGTACCTTTTAGAAACTTCAAATACGAATTTTTAAATAAATCCGGTTAATAATGTCACTAAAATTTTCAAAATACCGGATATAGGAAGGTTCCGTTATATGGGGAAGACATGGACCTGTATACGCAATTTTCTCTCATAGGCTGTAGTGCCCATTACGAACTTCAAATACGATATTTGAAAAAGATCCAGTAAGTAATGTCGCTAAAATCAATAAAAATACCGAATATAGGGATGTACCCATTCGCGCCCATAACTATTTTTGTGGCAAGTAGTTTAATTCGGCTCGAAGGACCAACAGGGTTTTTTTCTTGTCCGTGAGGAGTGACAAAATTCAATTTCTTTAAAAAAATACTCTTTAGATTTTGAAACAAGTAAAAAAGCAGCCATGTTCAACAGGGCCGAACTTTTAATACCCTCGACCATTTTGAAAGAAATTGAAAATTAAAAAAAAAAAAATCCGTATTTAATACCCTCCATAGTTTTGAAAGGAACTTAAAAAATTAAAGAAAGATCCTTAGAAAAATACGTCTCAATTGATATCTCTTATAGAGGTGCTACAAGGGAACTCGTTTTCTTTCTTACGAACTTCAATTACGAAATTTGAAACAATTCTGGTAAAAATGTCGCTAAAATCGCCAAAATACCGAATATTGGGTGTTACCGTTATTTGGGGCTATATGAAAACATGGATCTACATGACTCACTTACGAACTTAACCTGCTTATCTCAATTCGTTGAAAGATAGCGTGATTACAAAAGGTAGCCATACAGACGGAATTCGTTAAATCGCCCTAGAATTGTAGGCTGATCAACAATAAATGTGCTTTATTGGATCTGACATGAGTATTTCGAGGAGTTACAAACGGAATGACAAAGTTAACATACCCTCCATAGTATTGTGGAGGATATAAAAAGAGGAGCCATCTATATCGGCGACTTGAACTATAACATTGAAAAATATCTTAAGTAGAGGGGGGTGGAGGATTTCCCCGAACTAAGATTCATTGCAATTCGAGCAATTGAGGCAATTCGAGAACTATTTTGATCGAAAATGTTAATCCATAATCGAATCCTTATTTTAAAATACGGTTAAGAACTTCCTTTCACAAAATTCTACTATATGTCCCGGAAAACATTCAAAGTCCTATTTTATCTAAACGCCAAAATTCACAAACATTAAAGTCATATCAAGTCCCATTTGGCTTAAAATTTCCTCCCTAAATAATCCTTGCATTGTTATCACGAATATTGCGGACAAACTATATATCCAAAGTGTAAGGATTTCCAATTTTTAACTAATGTTGAAGAGGGGAAATTTGTCCCTTAAACTTAGCTTATTTTGCAACGTAAATGCTCAAAACGTTGATACACGAGTCTTCTAATGTTACAGTCAAAATCTAACCGGGATTTTGAAAATGTATACTTCAAGGTTACGAATTATAGAGAAATCTACGAAATGGTAAAAAATTGGAATTGAACGATCGGTAAGAGCATGGAAAATGAATTTTTTGCTGAGGGTATTCAAAAAAATTTACAAATGTTTATTTCGATAAAGAGGGTGTGTAAATATAAGAACAAAGTATCCAAAGAGTTCTGAATACGAATGAATTGAAAGCAAATCCAGGTTTCGATCAATTTTTTCCAACTTCACACATCCAAATATTTAGAGTAAGAAGATGACAGTAGAGAGGATGAGAACAATCGGTTTACTCTTTGTGGTAAATATCTCATAAACGGTAGAATTAAAAAAATCTCACAAAATCTTCTTTTATTTCGAATTCAACAATAAAAAATAATGAATGTATTCGTTTTTTCTTTTGTAGTACTTCATCGCTCTAGTCTTATTCATTGCTGCGGTGCAGGCAATTCCCTATCCTATTGAACATTATGATCATGGGGCGATTTTGGCAGAAGCACCAATTGCTGTTCATGGCCATGTAGAGCCTGTGGTGAGTTAACATTATTTCATTCATTTTCATTAAATATCTAAAAAATAATCTTTATTTGCAGTCCTATCCTAAATATTCCTTCAGTTATGGCGTCAAGGATCCCCACACAGGGGACATTAAATCCCAAGCCGAGGAACGTGATGGTGATGTAGTCAAGGGTCAATATTCATTGGTTGAACCCGACGGTTCGGTGCGTACTGTGGATTACAATGCAGATGATCATAATGGCTTCAATGCGGTTGTTCACAAAACCGGACCGGCTGACCATCCAGCTCCGGTTTACGATCATCATTATTAATGATTAGTTAATATCGAAAATTCATTTTTTAAAAATCGAAGTATTTTAAGTGTTTTAAGTTATGTTTACGAACTTTATATATATAAGAAATGGGTATGTTGTAAAACCAATGATAACTTTTGTATTATATACTTATGTAACCAAATATATGTTCAAGAATTAATGTAAATATTTATCCCTATGTAAATATATCCCATCTTTGTGTGTCTCTCTCTCGATGGCAGAGGTTAAAACGAAAAATATGCCATAATTTTTGTAGTGAGCTTATGTTTTTCCAGGAATTCACTAAATAAGAAAATGAATATAATCGTGTGTGATATAGATGGTTTTAGAAATATCTGAAATACGGCTAAATGAAAATGAGCAGAAGAGGGGTTGATATGGGTCTTTTTATTAACAGGTTTATATTCGCAAACAGTAACATAAAAAATGTTAAATTGCTGTTGCGAAGTTATTGATAAAAAAAAGTTGGAAAGTTTGTAATATAATATTTAATGAGAGGCCACAAAATGACGGAGTCTGGGCCAGTATATATTGTTATAGCGGCCTGTAATGGAATGTTTTGTCATATTTTTTAATAATTACGGGAAAATCAGCAGATTATAAAAGTAGAGCTAGAAATAGAATATACTTGTATCGTCGGCTTAAAAGTTTAACATAAGGTAACATAACATTTTGTTTTAGGCGAAAGATGTCAAAAGAAAAAATATTCTACACAAAATGTTACTACAAATCTAAGTATAAGCCAGATATATGGTGCTATAGATTCTATGAAAATTACTTTCAAAATTTATATACAAAAATGAAAATAATGTCTTTTTGAATTAACGGCTTTAGACACTAGGTCTTGGTGGACCTAATCCGTTTCAGGACATTTTTAGTCGACCTAGCGATCCGTCTGGCTAGCTGGTGCGCACGATAACTCTTGAAGGCAGTATCCGATTTAGTCTTGGTACATATATTATCATATTATTATCAAACTTGGATTGAGTTCGAAGATGGACAATATCGGTCCACTCCTTCTGGTAACTGGTTAGGCCGGGTCAATTTTTTAATTACCTCCGCCTTAGGGTGAAGAAAACATTTTTATATAAAAGTATCTGAATTAAAGCGTGTTCCACTTTAAACTACAAATATCAGTAAGACCTTTCGTATAAAGCAATTAAACTTATCAAAAAACCATAAGGTGGGTAAGGCCGTTATTTTATACTTGAAGGATTGTCATCTATCAAATCTTCTAAAATACCAAATTTGGCACAAATTTATGGGTAAATGTGACTAGGATTATCAAAACACCGAATAATTGTGGGTATAGGTGTGAGCTATAGAAAAACTTGAACCTTGAACCAATTTTTAGACAAATCCATGAACAATAGTGGCACAAATGATCAAAATACCGAATATCGGGAGGTACCGTTATATGGGGGCTATACAAAAACATGGGCCTATACAAAAAATGTTTCGCCACCGGAGCTAAAACCCATCATGGCCAACAAATTCCAATTTTTAGACAAATTCGTGGGAAAATGTGGCAAAAATCATCAAAATGCCGAATATCGGGAGGTACCGTTATGTGGGGGCAATACCAAAACGTGGATCACGCTAATCTTGTAATCACGCTATCTTTGGAACGAATTGAGATAGAAGCTAGAAGCTTTGCACACATGTTTATTATGCCAGTAGGCAGGTTAAGTTCGTAAATGGACCATGAAGCTCCACGTTTTCATATAGCCCGCATATAACGGTACCTCCCTACATTTGGTATTTTGATGATTTTAGCGACATTATTTACCGAAATTGTTTCAAATTTGGCATTTGAAGTTCGTAATGGATACTACAACTTATGACAGAAAATTGTCTGTGCAGGTCCACGATATCGTATAGCCCCCATATAACGGTACCTCCCAATATTCGGTATTTTTATAATTTTAAGGTAATCATTCAACGGAATTGATTCAAATTACTTATTTAGAGTTCGAAATGGGAACTACAGTCTGTGACACAAAATTGTCTATGCAGGTCCAGGTCTTCGTATAGGCTCCATACATCAGTACCTCCCTGTATTCGGTATTTTGACGATTTTAGGTACAATACCCACCGAAATTGTTTGAGATGTCGTATTTGAAGTTCGTAATGGATTCTACAGCCTGTGACAGAAAATTGTCAATGCAGGTCCAGGTCTTCGAATAGCTCCGATATAACGGTACCTCCCTACTTACGGTATTTTTATGATTTTAGCTACATTATTCACCGTTTATTTCGAATTTGTATGACAAACAATGCCTATGTAGGTCCACATCGTATATACCCAAATATAACGGTTATATTCGGTATTTTTAATATTTTAACAGAATTTTTAAAGTATTTTATATTTGAAAATTTCGAAATTCGTTCCAAATGGCGGAAGGTATTTAAAGTTCGGCCCGGCCAAACTGACTGCTTTTTAACTTGTTTATGTTGGGCCAGTCCTTCTGGTACCTCTCCCACAATGTGTCAAAATTTTGAGCATCCATGAAGCTCATAAAACGCGACTTGGTGCATCTCAATATTTCCATCAATACAAAACCTGTATTAAAGACGGTAGAGAACGCACCATTTCTTCTGGAACCTCCCCCTCATAGGTTTCAAGATTTTGAAAAACAAAACGCTCAAAGAAAGCGAATAAGCGAAATAAGATCTGTTGTGAAGATGATATACATCACATATGATATACCAACACCTCATGGTAACTCACCTACAAAGGTCACAATTTCCAATACTTATATCTGTCCTAACTTGCGAAATAATTCGGCGATTCCTTACAACTTGCTATATCTATATATTTCTCTTAACCAGACATATTGTATTCATATGCAATTTACCGGCATTTATGATTTCGTATAAAATTGGACATAAGTGGTCGAATTCATTTAAATTTTGAACTTTTTTGAAATTTTCTTTCTGTATTAGATGAAGTATGAAAATGGAATACTTCGATCCGCTATATTTGTTACCTCACGCATATTTCCACATTTTTCCAAAATTTGAACGTACCTCATATAAATTACAGAAAGTAATCCAAATCTGTCACGTCAAACATGAATTGGTCAACTGCTTCGGAACCTCCCCCAAAAAGGTTCAACAGTTTGAATAATCATAAGTCAGGCTGGGGGTATACATCTGTCGGCAAGACCGACTGATACTAGTTTACTTATTTTCCATGCATTTGGATCAAATTTTGTGGATATTGCATTGATGTAGGTATTTTTCATTAATAACTCTTTACAAATATTGAGGTTATATTAAATAGTTTTTTTGGAGTGGATATTAGGATGGTAAGATATTTTTCTAATCCTTTCCACTTTTACCTAGCTTCTTCTTTTAATTTCATCTTCCATTTTCCTGCGAAAATACAATAAACGGCAACTCCGGCTCTAAAACAATGTAATTCATTTGACTTTTGGAAATGCGATACATTAAGGTTTTACCTTGTTTTAAACGCATATCTATGTCACCTTCCGGATGTCATTTGTTACACTCGAGTGCATTTTTATCATGACTTTTATTTAACTCGCGTTTTTGTTTTTGCTCCGTCTCAACAAATTGTTAAACATTTCTTTGCGCAAACCTTTCATCCGCGCGATATGATTTCACATGCTAAAACATGTCTAGATTATGTTGCAACAGAATATCTGTTGCAGGTACTCAAAACTTTGGCGGCACTTAACGAGAAGGCGAGGCGTAATTTAGTTTTCACATGAAAGATTTCTACACATTGATGGAATTAGTGGGTTGTCCATGTCTCTCTGTCTCGTTCGGTGTATCTGCATATTACTATGTGTGGTGTTTTTTTCTTCTGTTGTGCATATGCTCCAATTGACAGTGGGCATGGCTTTGATGGCGCGGTGGACAGTTGTGTATGAAATGACCAGTGAATTGTCAACGTCGAATTTTCATAAATTAGAAAATTGCACCACTGTTTCGTATCATATCAAAAGTTTGATTTACTATGAAGGTTTTCGTCGACTTCTTTTTTCGTACTCCAGCATCAGTTGAATTAGATGTTGCACTAAACAGAAATTGAAGTTACAGTAGCTAAAGCGAAGACAACAACAACAACAACATCCTTGGGTGGTATTTGCCTTACAGTCTATGGTAACGGTATGGTAGGAATTTTTGTATATAAAGTGTTTTGGTCATTTGAAAATTATAACAGTTCAGCATTTGCCATCAGTCGGTCAATACCACATTTCAGAAAAAAAGTATTTAAGAAACGTTTCGCATAAAAATATTTAAAAATAATATTTTGTGTTTTTTTAAAATTACAGTTTTTGAGTTCCATTAAATCAGTGCAATATAAAATATTAAAACAAAAATGAAGGTATAATTAAAATCATAAAAGTTTTAAAACGTGTGATTTTTGAAAATATTGTGCTTAACAAAAAATCAAAAATATAAATGTCCTTAAAGGATAAGGAGGACGAAATACTAAAAAAATTGCGTACTAAACGAATTTTTTGTGCTTACGAATTATTCGAAAATAACAGCAGCTTACTTGGATAAAGCAGCGGAATAAGTCCACTGAGTTTGGCCCGGCATTTGAGAGCCATCTAGTTGTCCGTGTTTGGTACTAATGTGGTAGTTCTACAGTTTTGATACTAGAGATCAAATGTCACTGTTAAAGGGGTTATTTCCATTTTGCGCCCCAAAGTATGCACTGTAATACGCGCTCTCAATGCAGTACACTCTATATAAATTGAGAGAAAGATGGCGTTCGATGTAATATATGGTGCAATATCGATTACTTCGTTTTACAATACGTTCTCTTCTAGAATGAATTTCAAGTTATTTCTGAACCAGTTTTGATCCCCATATAAAATCCTGGTTTCACTCTATATGTCTGGGTTTAGACAATTATATAGTCATTATCTGTTTTGTATAAAAATGGTGAGATGATGAGAGGTTGACTCTCTGACTGTCATGCAAATCATTAATGCCCAGACGAAGCGAAAATGCTTTTG